AAGGGGAAACTCTCGTGTATAGGATAGGACGAGCGCGAGGAAGCTTCCTACCGTACCTGTTTTGTCCTTCGAGGAGTGAAGCCTGAGAAAGGTTCTTTGTCATAGTTTATGATAAATCCACAGATACCGAGGGTTCAGTCTGGTGGCAAGCTATGTATAAACTGTTACAGGGGGGCCTGTTAGGACCATGTGAGCTGATTCAATCAGTGTTGTTGACACTACAGTAGATCAGTGTTGGAGGTTCAGTAGCCCCAGACTTCCCCAACGTCTGAACGGACCATAATTAGTGTTTGCTTACACAAAACACACCCTCCTCATGGGGTTAATTTGCATGCACTTCCTGGTCAAAGGACACTGAATGTTCTACTCCTTTCTGCCTGCCTGTCTTTCTTTTTTTCCTTTTTTTTTTTCGGAGGGAGGGGATCAAACTAAAGCCTTCCTCCTTTGATTCCACTGAGTTGTGACTCAATCGCTGGAGGTTTGGAATCTCTATTTCAGTCTGAAGCTCAAGTATGGAAGCAATGATCTTTAATAGGAACCAGAGGACGGCCATGTTTGCGAGCAGTGATCGGGGATTGAGTTCAGCACGTTCTTGTTCAGATTGTGTTGCATCTAATCTTCCCGTAAAGACATACATGGGGCCCAGGAATATGACTCACAAACGGAAACTCGCCCCTCTGCCTTCGCACACGAAGCTTTGAAAACGGGCATGTGCAGGTCAGCCGTGAAGGCAATAAACTGTCAACGATTCCTTGCGTCGCAATTTTCAAAGCTGCCGCCTCTCTTTGCACGCTCTGCAGAGCCACATTTGGAGCGGCTTGACGCTCGTTTCTCGGAGAAGACATGTTCAGTATTTCTCTGTTTCTCTCTCTGGCTCTGGCTCCATTTCTTTCTTTCATCACAAACTCGTCAAACGAGTGACCCTACTCCTGATTGGCTGAGTTCCCTCTGCTCTCCACAGCAATTGGCCAGACAAACAGAAAGTCTCTCTCTCTCTCTCTCACTCTGTCTCATCTGTCTCTCTCTCTCTCTCTCTCTCTCTCTCTCTGTTGGCCATGCTCCAGGGTAGGGTGGTTTGGCATGACGATTTCTCAGGGAAGGAATGCTGACAACAGGAGCGAGTTACCAGGTGTGGCTGCGAGTCAGTTAACCAGAAACAAGGCCTTTCTGACAGATTGAGATGAGAAAACGAAGAATGAATGCAAGCACTGAGTCAGGCGGACTGGTTTGCTGTGATTTCATCTTCAAACTTTAAATAACCTTCCACTGTATCTCCACATGATGCAGCTGGTTTGAAGCATTCAAGAGAGTCCATCTATTAAAACAGGGGTTGTAATGAACAGTATAGGATTATGTAAGTTCCCTAAATTCCTTGTCAGACCTTGTTGTCTTCTTCCGTCTCCGACCCTTAAACCTGTCCACCCCCACCGGGTAAAGCATAACATTGTATGCTAGCCAGGGCATTTAACACCTCTCTGAAGTCCCATCCCCCCCCCCCCACCCCCTCCTCCTCCTCCCTGCGTGTGTGAGCAGATATTAGTAACCAGGGATGCCAAGTTGATCCAGCCTAGCAGAGACCCTGTGTCAAGTGGACTCCTGCTGCCGTGGCTCCATCATTCATAACTGTCTGTTATGTTCCTGTGCCACCTGCGCAGCCACAACACCGGGCGCTAGTAAACTTAGCGCTGTCTGTGTCGTCACGGAGGAGGGGTCCTCAGCCTTCCACTGCATTTGTACATACACATGTGTTTGTACACGTGTCCACTCACACCATTCTCAGGGCATGTCAGCGAGAAGGGCTACTGTTGCCCAATTGGCGCTGGGGTGTGAAGAATGCGCTGACATGCACACACACACACACACACATATTGACTGACATGTGCATACACATTTGCATGCATGCTCTAAAGCATTCTTAGCACTGCACGAGCAGTTTTTGATACACAACTTGAAAATGTGTTTTTAAAGGCTAGAATGAAATAGCTGCCCACGTTAAACAGCAGTGGACCGCCGGCCCCCACCGGCACCGCTTTCTCCTGGGGTAATGTACACATTCTGAGCTCTATCCTGAGGAATAACCTCCACACGACCCCCTAACCTTGCCTTTAATTATTTGTTTGAAGACAGCATGGAGTTCACATGCTGAGAGGTGTACTGTGTGTTCATGTGTGTGTGTGTGTGTGTGTTGGTGTTTCTGAGCTCTAACACTGAGCAGAGGCAGGCCATAATAAGCTAGACCACCAGATGTAGATAATAAAACATGGGTCTTTTTTTGGTTGGAGGTTTTTTTTTTTTTTTTTTTAGCTAGTGTCCCCTGTGAGCCTCCTGTGTTCTGGTTAGCCTACAGACACACTGGCGGGGCTTGTGGTCATGTCCATGGTGTGGATGTGTGGATTTACGGCGTGCACGCATGTTTTAGCGAGTGGTTGGGAATTCCAAATCCCTGTGGTCAACCTCTGTGTCTCTCTCGGGGGGGGGGGGGGGGGCATGGGTCCTTAGATCCATCCATCCATCCATCTATCTATCCCTCCACCCGGGTCGACCGGCCTTCATCTCTGGAGGATTCCTAGTGGTGTTGTTCTAAGCACACACCATTAGCAGCTCACGGGTCGAGGGAAAACAGTGTTATCAGGCCTGGCTCTGATAATCTCAATTGGCTTTACTCGGGCTGATAAAAGGTGCTCTAAGGCCACGAGAGGGGCCCTCGGTCAGCCCCCACTCCCTCCAGTTCACCGCATCACCTCCTGGTTACTGTGGCAACTTGTTTAGCGCACAAAAACAGAGCCATTATAGGTGTGTGTGTGTTTGTGTGTGTGATATGGTTGTTGTCAGCCAATGGGGAATGCTTAGGAAGAGGGAGGAAATAAATTAAATATCCACATGTTTGTGCATCAAGAAATTACCATTTCAATGAGAACAAACATCTTCCTTTGCGAAACATTTTCCCCGTTTATTTAGCGTGTTACATTTCCTGAAAGAAGTTTAAAGCCTAAGAGGAGGAACACGGTTTTTGAAGGAACATTTCAAGATAAAAGTCAGAAAAGAAACCTGGAAACTGCACTTTGATCTCACTCAGCTTACTCTCGAGTCCATAGAGAATTTCCTCTGCAGTCGCTGGAAACCGTATGGGCTAGTTTAGCACCTGGGAAGAACATTCCTAATATTATGTGTTTATGGTTATGTCCCAGAATAGGTAAGAAGGCATGTGGTTGTGATTTTGAGTCCCTTGGTGTGTCTAGAAAGGGAGAAAGCGGGACATGTATTTCTGAAAAGGCTTCGCAATCTGGTCTAACAGAGGGAGTGTGATAACAGGAATGTATTACTGTTTTCTTGCTTAGCTGGTTCTGATGCTCAAAACGTCTTTCTCTCTTAAGCAACGTCGGCACTTCTGACAGCAGAGCTATCTCAGAATGCTTCATCCCCTTTCTTCTTACAGAAAAGTACTTTCACAGTTAATAAAACTTTATCCTTTATGCCTCCCTTAAATCACGAATTACAATAATATCATTTCCAATCCATCTCTCTCTTTTGCTTATTCTCATATATGGACGTGTTTCATCTTTTTTTTTCTCTCGGGGGGCCCGCGGCTCCCCTGCGTACCTGCACTCTAGATGCCCCTCGGCAAATGAGCACTGCGTCTTTTCTTTTCCCGACCGTGCATTTTGTACATTTAACCATGTCACTTTGAGCCCGGCAGATTACAGGCGTTTAAGTTCATTGGAGAAGGTAAGGGCAGGTATCAGGGCTTCATGGGGGATTAGGAGCCCAAATTGGTTCCAGCTCTCCCTTCCTTCTAATGACCAGTTCTTTAGCCCCACTGATGGTGCACTGGCCCGTATGTTAGCAGAAGGCGGTGCTGCCTTTTTTTTTTTTTTTTTTCTTCTTCTCCGCTTTTCTGGAACCATTGAAGGACTCCATGCTGGACAGCTCTGACGTGATTTGAAACCCCTCTTTAATATCAACCACATGGTGATACCTGTAGCGTTAAGTCCATGCTTGATTCTTTTTTTTTTTCATGTGAAAGAGGAGGATATAGAGAAAGAGAGAAAGGTGGAGAGCTTGAATGGCCTGAGTGGCCAGCTTGCCTTCGACACAGCCCAAGGCGTCCCATTCTGAGTTTTTTTTTTAAAAAAAGAGGGTCACCCCTGGCTGGCACTCACCTCCAGATGACCTCCGGCTTTACACTGGAAAAGCCACAGGAGCGAGGCCGGCTGGGGAGGCTTTGTGGAGCTGCACTTATTCGCTGCTGTGGTGGTGATAAAACTTCAGACAGCCTAATTGATGGGCTTGCTGACATAACAATACCTTGTGAAAGCACGGAGTGGCTCATGCCTGGTCCTCATTTCTAGACAGCTGGAAGGGGAGCAGAACCCCCTACAATGCAGCCAGAGTGGGGGTCCCACAGAGGGGAAGGGTTGGAGGTGGGGGGGTGGAATGGTGGGGAGTCATGAAAGGAGCCATTTGTATGCTGCACTTTGCTAACGTAAAGCTTACTTTGAAATTCCAATGGGTGATAACACTGCAGACATAATATTGTGTTGGAGGGCGAGCTACAGACATGACACTGTACTTCATATAAACATGCTGCGTTTGCCGGGTGGAACTGGCTGCAGGAAAAAAGGAAAGAGAAAGAGAGAGGGATGTGCCACAGTGAGGGTTCCTCTGTGCCCGAGCTGCACTTAATACTTGAGGAATGTCTCCCTGGTGCCCATAGCAACCAAACGTAATCAAAAGCTTTATTAAAAGCGGGGGGAATAGATCATAAGGAACATTAAAAGTATCCCTCACTGGGTTCCCAAGTCAGCACACAATTGCCCTTTTTGTTTGTTGCGGTTTTGTTGTGCGCGCCTCTCTCAAGGACTCGCTGGCTAATGTTGCCATTAAGTCATGCTACACAGTTTTGTCTTTGTGCGAGCTTGTGATGAATCTTTCTGTGTGTGAATGCAGCGTTGATTTAACGTTTGTTTTTCTCCTCTTTTTCTCTCTCTCCTCTCCGCCAGGTTCATTAACGCCAGGAGAAGAATAGTACAGCCCATGATTGACCAGTCAAATCGAGCAGGTAAAAAAAAAAAAAAACACAAACGGACAATTCAGCCAGCATACAGCAGACTACTTCTTCTCTCTCTCTCTCTCTCTCTGTCTGTCTGTCTCCAGCATGAAGACACCCCTCTAAAATCCTTCACTGGCATGAACATCATGCCTGAAGCTCAGATTTTTTTTAAAGGGGCTCCCTACATGTACATACCCCCCAAAAAAAATCCTTTTCCTCTCCCTTCCTTCGATTTTCTCTATGAGATGTGTTCAGCAGCGGTGCAGGCCGTTTGCTGATTGACTCTAATTGGAGATTTCCCATTCTAAGTGGAGGGAGAGCTATATTAGCGCTCTCTCTGTGATTTACTAATTGGACACAAGAGGAGTGCCCGAAAAGCTAGCAGCAATTTATGAGTTATCCTCTCTTTTTTAGGCTTTTAAAAAAAAAAAAACGGTCCAGGGTTATGGGGCTAGTCTCAGTTCTTCTACTGCATTTTTAAATTCCCCATATGATCATTGTATTATCAAGTAATCTATTTTTAGTCACAGAGGAGGTTTGGATTGAGTTAGCCTTGACTGATTTAGAACCAACATTTGATCTAAAGCCAATGCAGGGAGATTTAGATTAATCAAAAGGAGATTAGATTACATTAAACGTCATATTGTTAAATGATAACACAATTTATTTCCATTTTTCTGTTGCTGTCAGATAACAGACAAAAGCACAAACTTAAGTAGTAAACACACCACTGTGTTTCCTCACAGAATAATTCAGTCACCCTAAGCTTCATTGACTTTGACATTACAAAAAAATAAAGAAGCCAAGTAATTTGTCTCTGGGAGGAGAAAAAAAAATGTCTCCACACATCAGGGTGAACATTTTTACAAACAAAAACAAACGTGAGCCATGGATAAAATGAGATACACTCACATACGTGGGTGACTCTTCCTGCAATCCCTGTGCTCAGTGTGCAACAAATGTTGTGCCAAACAACAATCTGTGCAAAAACAGCATGACTAACAGCTCCCCCTAATCTTTACGAATTACAGATTATCCAAGATAATACTGTTATAGTGGCAGAATACACTGTGCTCTACAGTCTGCAAAGAGCATTAGTTAATTAGGCCTAATAATAGACAAAGCAAGAGGCAATTAATTACTTGTGTATCTTGACAATTAATCAGGAAAATCTTCAACAAATAGAGTCATTTTGTAGGTTTCTGATTGAATACAGATTAGTTTGCTCTTTTTAAGAGTAGACATGTATATCACGTTGTTTGTATGACTACTGAGTGAAAGAATAGCCTGCCATGGCAGAAATTCTTCTCATCCTGTCAAACTGCATGCTTTCTCCTCTCAGCTAGAGAACAATGTGTCTCCTGTGTGTGTGTGTGGTTTTGAATGACACTGGCTGAGTGTGTGTGTGTGTGTGTGTGTGCGTGCGTGTGCGTAAGAGTGTGTGTGCTTGCATGCGTGAGGACCCACTGTATGCGTGTTTGCATGCCACGCGTCAGCCAATGCGGTCCACAAACATGAGCACAATGTCTTACAGTATGTTTGGGCTGAAGCTGGGACAATTGCTGATTGTCTGGTGTGTTTTCTCTTCTTCTTCCACCCTCCCTCCCTCCCTTTTTCATGTCCACGTTTTGACTACAATCAGGTTTTCTTCTTGATCCTTCAGTGAGCCAAGGAGCAGCATACAGTCCGGAAGGCCAGCCAATGGGCAGCTTCGTGCTGGACGGTCAGCAACACATGGGGATCCGACCAGCCGGTGAGTCTGCCCGACTCTCCTCCACAGCACCTCATGCCTGCTTTTTAAGACACCAGTTTCACCCTTGGTTCCTCGCAGAGCTGATCACCACTGATCCACTCGTCTGTAGCATGAGATTTAGTGACCTCAGCACGGAGCAGGTCCCCAAGCTAGACCTAACTCTAACAAGTGAAACACAACCACACTAACAATTCTTTAAAAAAAGTCCCCTCACATACAGCACCTCCTGACTATCGCCTGTCTGTCTGTCTTGCTTGTTTTTATTTCCTCTAATCTAACAAATCCTTCACAACTGATCATAACAAAGGGATTTGTGGGATGCAATGCAAGATAAAAAACCTTTAAACCACTTCTTCACATCTCCCCACTTCCCTTTCCCCTAATCATTTTCCATCTAAAGCTAACCAAAACTCATCCTCTCTATCAGTGGCTCTCCTCTGACCTCTCTGTGATTCAAACTCCTGCTGACCTTTTTTTTTTTCCTGGCGTTTATCTCTTCCTTCCAGGGCCTATGAGTGGAATGGGGATGAATATGGGCATGGATGGGCAATGGCACTACATGTAACCTCCATCTTGTAAAGCAAAACGCAAAGAAAAAGGGGGAAGTAAGTACTGGGCTCTTTTCCTTGTTTTTCTTTTTTTTTTTTATATACTTTTGGGCTGTGGGTTTTATTTTGTTTTCAAGCCAGATTCTCTTTCACCTTATCAACGCTACCTATGCTTGCACTGCCCATCATTTTGCAAAAAGTCTACTGTATCTATCTTGAAGCTAGCATGCACTGGTGTTTTAACAGGATGGTGTAAGGGGTAAAGGGAAGGGGGGGTTTGCACGTCTTGGGAAAAAAAAGGGGGCTCGTCCTGGGACAGAGGGGATCTGACTTGTGGCGCCAGACAAACAGGAACAACAACAGAAAGAAGGAGGGGGGGGGAGTGGGGGAAAGACAACCTGGCATGGCGTGCACAAATTTATTTATCACAACAGCGCCATCGCTCTCCCCATCCCGGACAGCCAATGCAAATGTTGGACATTTAGGGAAAAAATAACATCTCCTGGGGAAGGGGCTGACGGGGAGAAATTAAGCAGGCTCCAGTGAAGCGATAAAGAAGGAGAAGTGAAACTGTCCTCCGAGTGACATAAATCTGTCCGGGGAAGGATTGATGCCCAAATTATCTTATATGCAAAGACGGGAACAGCGCAGTACATTACGCTCCCCGAGCGAGATATACGGGCCGTGGGTGACATGGCCGATCCTTCACTGGGGGTTTGGTTTGAGCTGTGTAAAGGGAGGAATGAAGTGGAGGGGGGGGGGGAGAGAGAGCTGTGTGTTTTGATTATTTTTTACTGGAGGGAGACGATTTAGCGGGGGTGCAGTCTGACCTGAGACTTACAGACAAGAGCGGGGGAGACATTGAGATAAATTTATAAGGTTGTAGACACAAGCATGAGTGCATCTTAAAAGAAGGGGATCTCTTTCTCACACACAGATACAGTCTCTGTGTCTCTCTCTCACACTCACTTACACTCACACACTCACACACACACACACACTATCCCCATACCCATACGGCTAAATGGCGGCAGTCTGATTAAGCCGGCCATTCCGCCTCCCGCTAGTGTCACAGTGCTGACATTTGAAAAATCAAGACGTATCACATCCCGAAGGCGGCAGGGCAGAAGAGATTTTATTTTAACACCTAAACTCCCTTTGCCCAATGAGGCACAATATAATAACACTTACCTTGATTAAAAGAACCCTTTATATGTAAATGGAGACTGGATTTTCCAAAGGGTCACAGCGGCAATTCTGCCGACAGAGATCATTTCACCTCCTCTCTCTGTCTCTCTCTCTCTCTCTCTCTCTCTCTCTTTCCGTCTCTCATCCCCTCCTGTCTTTGCTAATGGCAGCAGGGAAAAAAAAAAAATCAGGAAGCAATGTTCCCTAAAACAGCCACACAGAGACAACATTTGCTCAGGTTGGCTAATTCTTAATATAGGGCTATATAATTTTGAGAGTATTTAATTACGTAACATACTTTATGCTTCATGACCAATTACATTAATAGCTTAATACAGAGGAATATTATCCTCTCTTGATTTGATTACGCAGCCACACAATATGGTGTATTTGGTACTTAATTATGGCCAGCCATTGAGCAGGACTGCTGTGCCATAACAGAAGTGAGGGGAGGCAGGCAGGCATGCAGAGATGGAGAGAGAGGCCTCAGTTATTGTCTTCAGATGGTTTTACCACTCTTGTTAATAAAGGGGGGGGGGGGGGGGGTATCAGATCTACTTAACGGAATGACTGCAGCTTACAAGACTGGAGATTACCAGCTTACAGTGTCAAAAACATCTGTTGGGCCTTTTAACAGGAGCCACTCTAGGTTATATGGAGGTGAGGGCACCCATCATACTCCTGCACCCTGAGTGATTTATTTCGTTTATGACCCCGGTAGTGAGGTTTTAAGAGACCGGCTCTGACAAACATGTGCATTTCAAATGAACTGACATGGACAGGGGGAGTATAAGAAAATGGAACAGCTTTCAACCAATGAGGCTGGTCATTAATCTTGGCCTTTGCTGTCCCCCTTTTTTTTTTCCCCCCCTCTCTCTTTCTCTCTCTCCTTTCTCTCCTCCTCTTCTTCTCCCTCCCCTCACCGGGGCCCTCCAGTGTAATTTCTTAATTGCAGTGTACTAAGGTGGAGGAATGCAGAGAGTGAGCATTGCCTAGTGACCTTGCAGCGACCTCTCCCCTCCTATTACAGCTTCTAATCCCCCAGGGGTTCACATTACAAAGCAGGGCCGGCCCAGACCCAATCCCAGACCCAGGCCCCCTCTGGCTCCAGCGGGGGGGACCCCCTGCTCTGACTTGTTTCTCCCCAAGGTCCAGGCCCTGTAGAGCAGCCATGTTCCCATACTCCAGCCCCTGGCTCCAGGAACAAAAAAACCCTCCACTTCCTCCCTGTTTCCCCTCTTTCTGATTACAACAAACAGCAAACAGTGGCACTGCGGAGCTGGCTGTGTGACCCGGGTCCTGTCACAGTGTGAGATATCCAGCATGCTGGGGTCTCTACACATATGAAGTAGAGTCCATCTTTAAGTGACATCAAAGTCCCCACCTGCTCTTCCTTTCTTTCTTTTTTTTCTTCCATTTGACTCCCTTTTATCTTTGCTACTCTTGTCTTGCTGCTGTTTCCTGCCCCCTCCAAAAAAAAGAAACCTACACACCATGCATCCAAGAGCAGCGCTTTGTTTGTAGAACCAAAGTCTTTAATGCTTAGTTGTCTCGGTGATGCAGCTAACTTGAGTCCTGCATTATTGAATAAACTGCTTTTAAGGGATTCTAAATCAAATATGTTCGCAAAAAAGACGCGTCCCCCCCCCCCCCCGTGAGAGAGTGTCACTCAAGCCGGCCAGGGAATTGACTGCTCGGCTTGTAAAAAGTATTAGCACTTCTCCACATCAATACGCCTGCTTGGTTTTCATCACATCCTCCAGGACTGCAGTGTCTGCCTGAGGATGACTGAGGATCATTTTCCAACCTGAGACCTGACCACAACGCTATTGGGCATTGTAAACCACTCACCATGGGCCTGAAATAGACTGACCAATGACGTCTCTCTTTACTTGTTAGCTAAGACACGGTGTCATAAAACCTGCTAAGCCCTGTGAAGTCAGAGTTGTATATAAATTGAATTAAGGCCTGTTAACAGAGACAGACAAAATAGTTTTATTGACTGCATGTATTCATTTCTGTTCTTGTTTTTTTTACTTCCTCTCAGGTCTGCCAGGCATGCCAGGGGATTACGTACCTCAGAGCGGTCCTATGGGCATGAGCATGGCCCCGCCCACCTATACCAACCCTCATCAGATGACCTCCCACCCCTCCCAGCTCCGACACGGACACCCTCTCCACGCGTACCTGCCCGACCACCACGCCCACCACCCTCATCATCCTCACTCTCACCACCATCACCCACACCCCCACCCGCACCACGCCATGCTGATGCATGGAGGACCCTCTTCGCACCCAGGAATGACCATGTCTGCACAGAGACCCCCTTTGCTCACCTCCATTGACCCCAGTACTGGAGGACAAGGCCTGGACATCCATGCCCAATAGTATAAGGGAACTTTTTGTTACCACGACAACAGCAGCTACTACAAGAAAAACAGTTTAAAAAAAAAGCGAAGAAGTCAGCAGCCCACAATAAATCCTATTTTGAGACTATTTTTAAGAATAAAAAGCGAACCCTTTTGACCAGAATTTGACACTAAAGAAACACAATTCCAGATGAGCTGTGATAAATCTTTCTTTTTTTTTTTAAAAGACTTGTCAATTTTCTTACTTTCATCCAAACGGAGGACCAAGCTGACAAGAACACTTTGTAAAGTCTTGGGCTTTTGGTAACGATCAACAGAGGATGTTTTGACATACACGTGTGCAAAGAATGGACAAATGCACACACACACAAACACACAGACACACTTCAAAATCACACACTTTTTTGGCACACTCACTCACACACAGCATCATAAACATGTTCAGTACACTTTAATGTCAAACGCTTCGAAACTAAAAATCACTCTGGAAGATTAAAAAAAAAAGAGAAACAACAGAAAGACTCCAAGAGTTATAACTACTGTAGTATAAAAAGTATAGATAAATAAGTTAAAACTTGTGCATTTTTTGTTGATCACATGGTTTATGTTTCCTGAGCTAGTTTTAGAATTAAAGGTTAACCTTTTCTCTCTCACACTGTGTGTGCTCCTTCCTGGAGGAGAAACTGTCTCGCAGCACAGCACTAGACAAGAAAAAAAAAAAAAAGAAAACAATAAGAAGATGGAACATCTCAAAAAAGGCTCCAAACCACAGAGGGCGATCAGGTCCTGTCCCTCATAAGAACAGGGCATGATGGGAAAAGGCTGCTAAATGACACCGGATCTCTCCAGAAGATTCAGTTTGAACATTTGTCATGCCCTTCTTTTTTCTCTTTTTTTCTTTGGTTCATGAATGAATGTTTCCCTGTAGGTTTTAAAGGAAAAAAAACGTTCTTTGTTTGAATTGCCCAAGCACTGGATTGTGTTGGTTTTATACATTTTTATTTTAATATTATTTTATTTTTTGTACCCTGGACTCTCATTGGTCAGAGCCTATTGAAGGAAGCTTAAAAGTGGAAAAGCAACATCCTACGGCGCTTTCTTCATCTGCCGATCAACTCTCTTGCCATAAGGACAATACTGACACAAACGTTGATCCTGCAGCACTGAAGAAGCATTTGATGGTTGATGCACCAAAAAACTTATAACTTTAAAAAAAAAAAAAAAAACGACAAAAAAAAAAAAAACTTAAATTATGAACTCAATGCTTTTGGGGGGAAAAAAAGCTGAGAGAATATTGTAACAAACTTCGTACAGAGTTCAGTCTATTAATTGTTTCATGTTAGATATTCTATGTGTTTACCTCAATTGAAAAAGAATGTTTTTGCTAGTTTCAGATCTGCTGTGGCATTGATATTGTATGTCCATGAATTCCTTCCTTTTTCAGCACGTGTTCCTCACTAGATGATAAGATGCCGTCTCCCTTAAGCTTTGTCAAAAATACATTAAATACTTGTATGAGGACTGTGACGTAATGTTTAAAAGGTGTTCAGTCACAAATGCTGTAATAAATATTTCATTTTTGATTTTTGTTAGATTTTTGTGTGATTACCTGTGTTACAAACTGATTCCATGTTTCACTTTTAATAGTGATACCAGTCAGTGGTTTATTGTTGTCTCTATTATCTCTCAGAACGCATGTCTCCTGGGTATGTTGTCGCCTCTCAACAAGGTCTCACATTTTTATTTACATTAGTGGTCCTAACAGTTCAAGTCAAGTTTAAAACGTTTCAAGCTTTATTTGCAAATACTTTTTTTTTTTTAACCAGACTAGTTGTGGAGGTTTTTATGCCCTCTTAAAATGAAAATAACTGATTATAATTATATATGGACAATTTATTTTGAAGGCCAAAAATGTCCTTACATTTTTAATTGCTGTTACAATAATGCAAAAACAATGTTTCAAGTTACTGAGGAAAATTCCCCAAACAGCCCACTTTAGCTTAGCACCAAAAGATAAAGGATCAGTGGTGGTGTGGTGCTAAATTTAAAGAAACAAGTGGATAATAAATATGTAAGAATAAATTAGAATAAATGATAATTTCTGAAGATTAATTTGTAGAGATTTTATTTTGGTCAAATTCCCATTAAGGTTTTTTTTTATAGATTCAGTAATTGTTCAGATATTTCTGTTTTTCTTTCTGACTGGCAGACAAATTGATTTAGTTGAGACTTTCTTTGCGTTCAAACAAAAGGTGTAGGTTTTTGTTCCCCAGTGTATCTGCTGCTGTGTTACAACCATGGCTGGCCCTGTCTGTGTGCTCTCTACTCATAATCTGCCGTTTTGCAGCGCCGCCTGTCGGCCAAACATGGCACCGCCGTGCAGTAAAAACACAAATGGGCTTTGATGGGCTACCTCCTCTCTCTTCTCCATCTCTGAGCGTGTGTTCGCCCGCGGCCATCCGAGCCAGAGAGCCTTAAAGCAGAAATGACAACATCACTCGGGCTCAAATATCTTCTGTCCTTCACAAAGAAGTTTCAACATTTGCTTTTTCAGATTCAAGGCCTTGCATATATTTTTCCTTCACCTTTGAAATGGACTTATTGTTAACATGTTTTCAGTTAAATAAACAAAAGATCACTCTCATGTTTAAATGAACAAATACAGTGCATGGCCAAAACTATAATAATATTAATAATTTAGCAGCCAATAATAACATGAACATTTTTTAATTAGTATTTGTTTTTATGCTTTGTAAGAAAAATGTGCCTGGTTTGTATTTCCGTTTACACTCAGCTGAATTTTTAATTATCATTCTCATGTGGACTCCTGATATTTTTATTCAATTTTGACAAATTGTTAAGAAACATAAAATGGTCAGCATATGACTTAGATTTAATTGTGCATTCATTAATTTGCAATTAATTTAAAAATCGTAAATTATTTTTGATTCAAAAAATATATAGCCTATATTCAAACTCAGATTTGTTTATGCAGCAGGTCCGTGTGCCTAATTGTTTATTTATTTATTGACTTTTGTGTGTTCTTGTAAAAACAAAGAAAAGACAAACAAAAACAGTGATGTAACTCACACCTCTTTAAAAAATAAATAAAAATAATATTCGTTACACTCAAAATAAATCCACAAAATATCCCGCATGTAAGTCCTCATTGTAAACCGTACAACTACAATTTAAACATTTGATTTGATTAACTGATTTTTTTTTTTTTTTTTTTTTTTTTTAAAGCACGGCTGTCAGCCTGCATCATCCCCTTTCGGCTGTCTTCACAGTTGGTCTGAACGTTACGCAGTGTGTTTTTATAGAAATTCCGGACAGAATAGCTGCACAGTTGATCTTTGTTTAACACTTTTCCTCCACACGCAGAGGCATGTTAGGCCTTAACCAGGCAGAGAAAAAAAATGGTAGATATTTATTGGTGTTACACCAGAGTCTAGTTAATGATGCATCCTCTTCTCTCAACTATTCAAAACCTTAAAGTCCTTCTTCTTTTTTTTTTGTTTTTCTAGCGCTCCATTATTCTGCGGATAAAACGGAAGGAAGAAGCCCTCCGTTTTGTGCGGAGATTATCAGATGAAAAAGAGAGAAAACGTGAGGATTACTGTGGATGAAGAGGATTTTAATATTAATAGTTTTTTTTTCTTTTCTCTCCCCCCTCCTTCCTCCCTCTTTCCTTCCCTCCCTCCCTCCCTCCCTTCTCCTCCCCCTTCTTCCCCCGATGAGACAGAAGGTAGATTGCCTCTGCTGCTTTCCTTTTGCCGATTCGGTGTGACAGGGATGATGGATGATCCAGCCGAGCTAAACAACTCCTCCCCTTCATCTCCTCCCTGTCAAAGCCAGTCCGGGCTGCTGCTGCACGAATAAAATAAGGAATATATTCCCTCTGCACTGCTGCACAATGCAGCCTGCTCCTCTGGAAGACACTCTTTGCGCGCGTGCAACAATATTAAAAGTCCACACACACTATGTGCGCGTGAGTGTGCGTAACAGAGGCAACATGTTAATAAAGCCCATGTTATTGGCTCTGTTATTTCTCTGCAAAGCATCACCTCTATGTGTATTTTTGGATGCACACGTGAGTTTTCTTGCAGCAAGGGACACACAAAAAAAAAAAAGTTTGTGCTTTGTTTTTTCTCCTTAAATCGCTGATTTGGATAGTGGTCATAAAAATGCACGCGCATGCAGGAGCTGAGTGTCCTTCGCTTTGCAGCTGTTTCTCCCCCAAAAATGGCTTGCTCGCTCTGGGGGACAGTTTTTAGGCTTTGTGTGTCTGTGTGTGTGTGTGTGTGTGTGTGTGTGTGTGTGTGTGTGCTGTGTGCTGCCCTCCTTTTTTAAAAAAAACATTTCAGCAGTTTTCTCTCCTCTTGCCATAAGGTGTTTCTATGACTACGTTACGTAGGCCTGTGCGCGCGGGTCAGAGGCGGGGGTCCCTGGGAGAAAAGGGCCGCATTTGGCTGATCATTTATCAATGTCAACCGCATAATGATTCTCCCTGCAGTCCCCCTATTGATGAGGATAATTACATTAGCTCAGAGTGACTGATCAATAAAGCCCAGGGAAAATGGTTTATTATAGTACCACCGAAAAGCCTTTCTTTAACAGAGGACTGGCTGCTGTTTTTTTTTTCTTTTCTTTTCTTTTCTTTTTAAAAAAAAGCAGGGCTGATCTGTGCTATCCAAACTCCGGAAAGATACCAAGTGAGAGGCTAAACTTCGTCCGTATGCAGATTTAAGGTTGTGAAATCCAAATGTTTAGGGAATAATAATTAAAACATTATGCCGTATCTTCTTTTAATGCTCTTCTCTTTTTGTTCTTTATTGCTTGAATGATTAACAGTTCTTTTTTTTCCTCTCATGAGGTCGAACCCTGCAAACATATTTTAAACCCTCCTTTTGGTACTTAAGTGTTCAACCTTCTCATGGAAGCAAGTGTAGAGCTTTACATCAAAACAAAATTCTTCAAATCACGTCCTTTTTTGTTTGTTTTCAGTTTACCTGGAAGTAAAAAAAACATTTAAACTTCATGCTTTAATTTAATTTAAGAATATATCATAGTTCCATTTTTTTTCTGCAGCATATTTTCAAAACCACTTTCATTTAGGCAATACATGATGCAGTTTTCTGAAACCCCACCGGCCTTGAAGTATAAAACCTTCAAAATAAAACAAAAAAATGGTTTGTTTGTCCAGCAGCAAATAATAAAAAATAAGATGATAATAATAAAGATGGAAATGAAAAGGAGAGAAGGCGAGTTAGAAGCACTTCTGACCCCTCTCTCTCTCTGTCTCTCTCTCTCTTTTTCTTTCTCTTTCTCTCTCTCTCTCTCTTTCAGCACGCGCGTGTGTTCTTTAATTGTCAACAACTTCTCCCCTGCAGGAATGTTGCAAACTCTTTCGCCTTAATTCTCCGTGGTGCTCCGCGCCAGCTCCCATTTAGCGCTGATGAACGTGTCTGCAGGAGACAGCTCCATTATCTATTTATCATTTCTGATAGTATTTCCTCAGACAATGGAGGAAGAAACGCGCCCACGGACGGTCCCACTCGTGCTCTTCTTCACTGCCCTTTCACTCACGCGCGCACTTCTTCATCCACTGGATGACATTTTGATAAAAATGAAATTAAGATTTAATTTGAGAATAACGTCTTGTCGTATTCGAATATAATGTCAATGTGCTAAATATATTATTATTATTTTTTTTTTTTTACTTTCAAAAAGATAAAGCTTGAAAATGCATCATAGTCTTCAATTTGTAACGTTTAAAAGTAACTTTAAAAAAATAAAAAATAACTAAGTGTGAGATTCAGGAGTTTTTCTTGCGCATGGCAGCGACCACTTGAATTAGAGGCAATTTATTTTCACACTTCAGCGATGCTTGTCTTCTTAAAAATGAGTGACAGTCACCCTTACACCCCCCCCCCCTCCTCTTCCTCCGTCTTCTTCGCCAACACACACTCAGCCCGCTAAAAAAAATAAATCTTAATGATGTGAGAATTATAATTAGTCAAATAACATAGCTATGGGGGCTTTGAGTGAGCAAAAAGTGGAAAGTGCAGTGGCCAGTTGTGAAGAAGAAGAAGAAGAAGGGGGCATGTGAGTGCAGAATAAATAAAGCGCAATAAAAAGGGAAATAGCCGGAGTTTAGTCAAGCCTTGAGGTACTCAAACCTTTATTTCAATCAGTTAAGATTTAATTAGGAAAGCCCCAGGCCTGAGAGTCTCTTTTTTTCCTCATTATGTTGCTTCTCCAGCGCTGTGTTACAATGGCCCCAAGGTTGTCAACATTTGACCGTTTTTTTTCCGCTGAAATGATCACGCTTTATGGCTAGAGAAGCCATAAGACTCGCAAACAAATCTGACATTATTCCATTATGAGGCGGAAGTCCGAGCAGTGAGCGGCGAAAACATCGATTGTCTTAATTTATGGGTTGTTGTCCAAAGGTTCTTTTTTAAATTTTATTCTTAATTTATTTTCAGTTATTTCGAGAGCTTTGAAAAGGGAAGGTCTTGAAATATCTTGCGGGTAGCCGAGGGCAGCAAAGTGAGACATTTCACAAGAACTGTAAATA